TTGTTATTTATAATTCAATTTTTAGACTGAAACAGTAACCTTGAGCTTTCTCATACAAATCTATAGACTGTAATTAAACTATACTCCAACTCGCATATTCAGTTGAACAAGATATAATATTGTCTATATGACTATATAATACAGATTTATTAACAAATAAGTATAATTATTTTTCCTGTTGTATTTATAATTAAAACAAACCGGGTTTGTAATTTAAAAATGTAGTAGGACTAGTAAGATAAGTGTACCTACTACCTAAACAGAAAAATTAAAAATATATAGGTAGATATAATGGAGGACAGAAGGTCGTCTAGTTGTATGGAAGACATTCGTATAATATTTTTAGTTGATCGTGTTTAAATTATTTTATTTAATCTGGTTTATATTATTTCATTAGTTGAATTTATCAAAATGTTTGTTAGACTTTTTTGTTGGAGTTCTTTATTAATATTATTTCCTCAAATAATTGAAACTACAATAGTTTATAAATGTGGAACAAGTAAGTTTTTCGTAAATTTTTAATAGACGTTACACAAATAATTATTTTATTATTAATACGGTTATAATTGCCTAATAATTTTTATATGATTCAATGTGTACCTATACCAATACAATTTCGATGCAATTTTACAATGCTTCTCATATTATTTAATAACTATAAATTATGTATATTATTTATAATAATTATCTGAACATTTCTTGATTAATTGTTAATTCATTTTTTTAAAAATTAAGTTTTTTTTTCAAAAGTACATCTGTACATTCATAAATAGGCTAAATCAGTTAGTTATAACTTTTAAATTATAATGAATAACGATAAATAGATACGGACCTGAAATTTATTTTTGTTTATTTTTAACTGTTTATGGGCAGGAACGCTAAGAGCTCAATTAATTAATGATGAATGGTGGTTTGTTTTAGTCCGACCTATCAGAAAAGGTCTCTTTTGAAAATTGTTTTTTGAAAAATATGTTCAGCGTTCTAATAATATTACCTATGTATTTATGTATAATGTATAAGAATTATCAATTTGGATCAATTTAATAAAATGTCGATTTATTTTATAATAAAAATTAAAAAGCTGTTCTTGAAGAATAATAGAAGGCACTTGTTTGTTATCACTCTGCCACAAATTTTTTTCTAGGTTAAAATTTTTTCACCTTGATATCTTGATGTCAACATTCTTGATGTAAAATTGCAATATTCATTATCAATATTTCCTAGTATTTCGATATCTTACATGAAGATTAGTATTTTGTGATCTATTTAAAGAAAGAGAGTAAATATTTTAAATTGTATTTTATTATATAATAAATTATAATTATGTATTAGTTAATCTATGGGCCACTGGGTTAGTAGGCCATACCAGTCTGGACCTGAGTGTGTCGCCATTTTTATGGATTTAAATTAGGGTGTCATCATACAAAAAAGATAGAGAATCATTGAATAATAGAACATTAATATAATAATGCAATAAAAAAACTGACAGACATACTAAACATGCTTATTTATTAATTGAAAAAAATCCTTTAAAATATTTATTGTGAAAGAAAAAATACCAATAGCATGTTAGAATGAATTTTTCAATTAAAAACAAATAAATCTGACTATTTTCAAATCAAAATATAATATTCAACTTAATAATTTTTTAGTTTTATTTTTATTGGTTATAATTGATTTAAAAAGACACATAATAGGTTTCATTTATATTTTTTTTAAGATAACTTTTGTAGGTAGAAGTATATTATATTATAATATTATCTTGTTGTCAGCACACTAATATTTTTCAGGTAGATCACTTAAAGATATTGTAAAGTAGTTTAGTAGCTTTTTAAAATATAATTCTTAAACTCAATATCATATAAATTTTTTCAGTTATTTATAAATTTAAATGTAAGCCCTCAGAAAACTTACTAACTCAAGAGAAGAAGACCCTATGACCAAAGAGAGCAACAACTGCTACCGTCTAAGACAATACAACACATTCTTAGATATAATTGTTAATTTAAACCTATTATTTTTATTATATTGTAATTATGTAAGAAAAAAAATTATTTGTATATACAAATCAGTAGACTTAATAGAAACTAATGATAAATGTTATAAATCATAAATAAACCACGATTCAATGAATGACACATTAGAAATATACTGTATATATTAATAGTTACACACCATTGATACCTATTTCTTTTTAGGAAATCGAGAAATTTTAAATAATGTAAACGTAACAATTGAAAATTGTACTACATCAAGATGTTCATTAAAACGAAATAGTACTGTGCATATAGAAATTAAATTTAAGCCAGGTTTGTATAAATAATAATATATATTAACTATAGTTTATTTGTTATACAATTTAGTAACTTATACTAAAAGCATTTATTTATTTAATGATTATCAAAATATAACACATATATTTACTTTCTGTAAATTATACAGGCAGAATATAAATTAAATTAAAATAAAATATGATGGTATACATTTTATTTATATATGTTAGATAATGAAATTTTCTAGAGCTTAAGTGGTTTCAAAATTGAATTATGCCAACAGAAAAATACTACATTAGATTTTGGGACTTATTAAGGACGTTAATATTTTTTGTTGAAAAACACTGTTTACAATTAAATTTATTCTTATTGTATAAACTTTTTGTGGAAATATTTTAAATGTTTTACCACCTTAAATTCTTAAATTGTAAAAACTTCCACTCATAATGTTCAATCTCTTTAAATATTTTACCTAAACAAAGAAGTAACTAATTATACAAGTAATACTCACTGCAAAGATGAAAACCATAAATTAATTAAAAATCGATATATTCATTAATTTTTATCCTTGGTAATACATAGCTTATAAGTTTTGTTATCTTATTTTTAATCTAACAATTGTATTTTCATTATATTCCTGTCAACAAAACAAATATTAGTGATAATTATTTAATTTATATAAGTAGGCCTGACTCGTTTAATACTAAAAAAATAAATAAATAAGTTTATAATTACAACGATAGTACTTAATGTATTGAATCATCATCAGCTTGTAAAACTTTGTTTATTTCAATTGAAGTAATTTAAATTAATCAATGTTAACTGTAATTGTTATGAGATTGAAAATATATTTTTAGTATCATACTCGTAAAATTGGTGGCTCATGTTCCAGAACATTTAAAATAAATCAAAAAATATGATATATTAAATATTTGCATTACTAAGTACACATAAAAATGCATTATAATACCTATGTATATATTTTATTTTTAGAATTCAATATAAGGGATTTAATTGCAGAAGTGCATGGTATAGCATTAAATATACCAATACCCTTATTAGGAGTAGATAATAAAAGTGTATGCAATAATCTCTACGAAGAAAATGGAACAAATAGAAAATGTCCTCTACTTAAAGGTAGTACATATGTTTATAAAGACGAGGTATATATAATCGAAGCATATCCTAAGGTAAACTATATATTTAGAAATCTTCATAAAAATACTCACTATTATTATTTTCAGTTTAAAGTAGATATACATTGGAGTTTAAAGGACCCCATCTCAAAAAATGTTGTTACTTGTTTTGAAGCACCAGCAAAAATCGTTGATTAATTTTCAATTGTATTTTTTTTTTAATTTTAATTAAAAATAAATAAACAAATATAGTTTGATCATCTATTGAACACTTGCATGTATACAATAATGTAATATATAAATAAAACTAGTTATAAATATTTAAAAAACCACACTTAAATAATTTTAGAAAAAATATTGCAATCATTAGAAATAACGTAACATAAAACATTTAAATAATGTTTAAATAACAGTAATAATTTTACATTTTAAAAGCTCTTAAATTTAATGTTATATTTTTTACTTTAATTAATCAAGAGAAAAAAATACAAACATACTTATATATTAAAAAAAAAAAAAAAATTACAAATTATAAATTCTCTTATGTCCTTATATAAGATATTATAGTTTTAACTTTTTATGCGTTTATAAATGATAGTTATAATTTTTTTTTTTAAATATATTTCATTACAATATTTAGCTTGCATTATGATTCTTATTTGTTTACTTGGTAAATTATAAGTTTTATGGAGTATGTTATAAGATTCAGGACTATTATTCTATTAACATTTAATAATGATCACATTATTGATCATGAAAAAATATTAGAATAAGACTTAAATTTTAAAATTTTTGAAGATGTTGCTAATTAAGTGAATTCTCTATCAAGTTATTTTAATCATTGTAAATTTGTATTTTTTACTGTAATATATTTTATGGACTGTAATTATTTATCTTAAAAATAAAAAAAAAAATGAATAATTCAATATAATAAATAAATATACAACATATGAAAAAATACTTTTAGTGCTTGAGATTCAATTTTATGAGATTTAAATGAGTAATAAATGTATAAGTATACTAAAATGTAATAAAAACTAAAGATTAAAATAGTTTATTATTAAAACTGATATTAGACTTTTTTTTTAAATCTAATAATTTTAGTTCAGTTTAGTAGTTTTATATTGTAGTATGTATAAAAAAAATCAATGACAAGTTCAATAATAAAAAATAATTAATTATTTTTATAATATTTTGATAATTAATTAAATAAAATACTTTTGTTACTTATAGTTACCCTTATAATGTTTTATTTATGTGAAAGATAAATATTATATACTTATATAGTGTAAAGTTATTCCATCTGGGTTAGCTATATTATATACTTATTATTGAGTACATTATGACTCACCAAAAATAACAGATATAATAGAAAAAAGTAAACTAATGTCATTCAAATTTTGTCTTAAAAATTGAAACGACCCTGTATATATTTATAAAAGAAACTCATTGAGATTATAGCCTATGTATTTGTTTTTAATATTAATTATTTGTTATCATTAAGCTTATTAATAGTTATGGTGCATGTTATAATTAATAATTGAAACTTAAACAAGATCAACATTTTTTAAAACAATATTTTCATAATAAGAATATTTTTATAATAAGTGATCATGAAATTAAATTAACTACCACTTAATTTAAAGCAAATAACTTAATAATATGTTTCCTTCTCTAACCATCCACCAGGATTTCGTCTTATGTAAAATTTTCTTACTTCATCATAAATGAATAAAGCTAGCATGAATGGTATTGGAGGAATCCACCAAGTCCATCTAAAAATGTATAATTATACATATAAAATTTTTAAGACAGAAAAAATAATAATAAATGTCTTACTTTAATGGATACATGCGTAATGCTTCATCCATTCCAGGTAAGTAACATAAGAACAACGCTAAGACAGTTTCAAATATTAAACTGAAGTTCAGAGCCATATTTCTAGAAATAGAACAAGGTATTAGCAAACTTTCAAAACTTAATTATTACTATTTAACTAACTTCATTCCTTGATGTGTGATTGAGTTTCTTCTTGTCTTACATATAATAAGATTTGCCCACTGTACTACTACAATAGCTATGAAAAAGCCTGTATGGCACGTATACTCTAAGGACTTGCGGTCTTGGTAAGTCTATAAATAAATTTTATTTAATGATTTTTAATATATTCAACTCTTAAATTTTAGTTTAATTTACCCATTCTTGATTATAAGAATCTGGTAAATCATTAACTGCTCTAGAATCCCATTCACGACGTATTCCAATTAATTTATATGGCATAAATCCATTTTCAGCCATAATTACAAAATAAGTAAAAAATCCAGCAAATGCCTCAATAACACCCAATTGACCAAATGCCAAAGATATTAATCTTAAAGAAAAAAAATTAGAAAAACATAATTATTAATCATAAAATATTAAAATTAACAATTTATTAAAATTATTTTGCTATTATTATCATATGCCAAAAACTACTTGCCAAGCAATTCACTAATGAAGAAATTCAAAGGAAAGAAAAAGTATATAGAGTTTACCTGACATTAAATAGAGGGTTTTTAATAGTTGGTTTCATTTTCATCAGGTTTGATTCGCCGGGTTCAAATGCCAGTGATATGCCAGGCATCTAGCAGCCCCAAAATAACAAACAAATCATCCACAAAAATTTTTTTTTTTTTTTTAGTTATTTTGATTATTTTGTTACATTGAAAGCATAAAAATTAAATAGATATATCAAGAATACAGATTAGCATGGCCAAAATGTTATAAAAGAAAACTTTATGCAGAAATACGTGTTAATTATTAATCAGAATATCAAAGCAAGTAACTAATTTAAGACAAAAAGCAAAAGCAATAAAACAATAAATACTACATAATATAGTCACCTGTTATTCACAAGTTTATCTCTAATTAGATTTCTAGGAGGGCGCTTCATTATATCTGATTCCGGATGCTCATAACCCAATGAAATGGCTGGAACCTAAATACAATAAGCCCTTTCTAATGGAGTTCAAAACTACTTCTAATTTCTATATTTTCTTCCATAAATATTCACTAAGTACACTGACAACATTTATTTTAAGCACTAACTAATGTGTATCAAGCATTTGGGCCAAATTTAAAGAATATGATTATTTATTTATTTATTCATCAACTACTGAAATAAATCTAGATACTAAAAATATAAAATATCAATAAATATTAGTGGCAGATTTAACACATAAGCAACTTAGAAAAATCCAACCGAGTTCAGTCAAAACAGGCTTTTTATATTCATAATCACTTCTTGTAGTTAGATAAATTATTAATTTTTTTTAATCAAGTATTTATATATTCCCAGATATTCTTAAATATTGTTTTTTTTTTTTTTTAAAAAACCTGACACGGATACTGAATTTTACAGGCATCATGTATTTCAAAGTTGAGTCTCAGTTGCCTTATAGCCCATTATCCAAAATAAAGTATTTTTTAAATGTAGAAAATTGATTATGAATATTATGATTTAAGACAAATTTATCATTTTGATTAAATATTTTAGTTAGAAATAATTTATTATCTTGAAAGTTATTAATTTTTTTCAAATCAAAATTTCAGAAATTTGGTTCTTTACAAACCATGCTTAATTTTGGTCGTTTTATCAAATAAAATATTATAATATCATTAGTTTAGTCTTCTTAATTATTTGAATTTTAATTGAGTATTTACAAATTCAATAAATTGCAAGATTATAGTTGGTTTTTATTTTATGCTGTTTAATGAATATGTGAGTATCATATAGTATTTACACTTATTATATATCATGTATTTCATACATGGATAGAGTGATAATCAAAATCAGAGTTTAAGTCATATTAACTATGGGGAAAAAAAATATAAAGAGCATATAAAAATAAAATAAAATTCTACACTTACACAATTTACTGTTTATGGATTACTAAATATTAATCAAAAACTAAGTATAATACATTTAATATTTTTTAATAAGGATACATATGAGTAATAGTATTATTTATATTCAAATAAGTTAGTTGAGTTAAAAAGTATTATTGAAATGGAATACAATAACATACTAGATAAAGATTATTATTATATAGTTTAGAGAAATATCGAATTTCTTAATATTTATAATATCTATATGACTTTAAAATAAATAATTTTGATGATACTTTATTTTATGGTAAAACACTTTTAAAAACATGATTCAGATTTAATTTAAATAGACAACCACAACATTTTTTAAAAATCTTAGATCCACCACTGAGTATCACTGTTAAAAATGTTTAATTTACTATAATTGTACACTACCATTAGAATGCATAATCATATATCACATTATAAATTACATTTATAACTAATAACTACAAGAAAATTAATGTCATATTAAAAAAAACAGTGTTAATTAATCTAAGTTAAGTTTATTAATATTTGTAGCTAATTATTATTGAATATTTCTTTAATGAAAATATTATATTTATTTGTTAACCTAATGGAGATAGTGAATTAAAAAGGAAATTGTAAAACTGATTAGATATAAATTATGTCAGTTTCTAGAATAATAAAAAAATTCAATGGTTTACCTCATATGTTTAGCCTAATTATAATCAAAACTGTAGTGAACAAACGTCAAACCAAATAATTATCAACATTCTGCCAAAGAAAATATCTGTCAACGTAACAATATTTATAACAATATATATTTATGCTTACCATATCTGTACCAAGATCAATGCATAATATAGCAATTGCACCAATAGGCAATGGTATGCTTAGCATGATAAAAGCAATGAACGGCAATAATTGAGGAACATTAGATGAAAGGGTATAAGTAATAGACTTTTTTAAATTATCAAATACTAAACGTCCTTCTTCTATACCAGTAACAATACTAGCAAAATTATCATCTAAAAGAATCATATCAGCTGCTTCTTTTGAAACATCTGATCCAGATATTCCCATTGCAACACCTGAATAATATATTATATATATATAATTAATTAAAAATGTTATGATAGTAATGTATTTTATTATAAAATTTATGTAATAACCAATATCTGCTTTTTTAAGTGCAGGTGAATCATTAACACCATCTCCAGTAACAGCAACAACTCCACCAATTCTTTGACAACCTTCAACAATAGTTAACTTTTGTTGAGGCGAAGTTCTTGCAAATACTATTTCTTTATGGTATCTAAAATATTAGCGTTTAAAATAATTGATATAATTCTGAAAGTATATAAAAACTTTAATTTACCTTAATATTTCATCTAAAACTTCTGGAGGCAAATCTAATAATTCAGAACCATGTACTACAGCCGCATTAGCATCTCTTGGATTTACTTCAGATATAGGAATATTTAATCTCTGAGAAATATCTTCAACTGTTTCATTTCCTTCAGATATAATTCCAACAGATTTTGCAATTGCTTTAGCAGTAATAGGATGATCTCCAGTAACCATAATAACTTTTATACCAGCTGAGCGGCATTTAGCCACAGCATCTGGAACTGCTGCTCTTGGTGGATCTATCATAGACATTAAACCAACAAATCGCATACCACTTAATGGAAAATTAGGTTCATCGACATCAAACAGGAAATTTTTAGGGAAACGGTCTGGTGGTAATAACATGTCACAAAATCCTAGGACGCGCTCACCAAGACCACCTAATTCTAAGTAGGCATTATTAAATGCTTCACGCATTTCTTCATCAAGAACTTTTTCTTTTCCCCCGATAAATATGGTAGAACAACGATCAAGGACACGTTCCGGAGCTCCTTTCATAACTAATAAATATCGCGAATATCGAGAATCTGAAGGATCTTCAGTTTCATGGATTGAAACCTGAAAACAAAATTATCATATTAATAATGTATTATATATTCAAAAATAATTTATAACAAATAATGATTAACAATTACCTGATATTTATTCGTTGAATTAAAAGGTATCTCGCAAACTTTACGGTTACGCCTTCTGATAGACATTACATCACCAAGAGCAAGTGTCATACACTTTAATAAAGCAGATTCTGAAGCGTCCCCATTTACTTCCCTAAAAAAACATTTTATATAAATTCTTTTATTTAAAAAAAAAAACTAATAACAAACTTTTTTAGAATAGGTACACCATCTTGTCCTGGTTTAAATTCAGCTCGATTACAAAGTGTTGCAATTCTTGCCAAAGCTCTAAATCCAGGGCTAGATCTATCATACTGTACCCCAGATTGATCTTCAGTAGTGTCCGCTTCAATAATTTGATTATCAAACCACATATGAGCAACAGTCATACGATTTTGAGTTAAAGTGCCAGTCTTATCAGAACAAATTGTTGAAGTTGATCCTAGTGTTTCTACTGCTTCCAAATTCTTTACAAGACAGTTTTTAGATGCCATTCGCTTGGCAGTTAATGTTAAACAAACAGTTACAGTAGCTAATAAACCTTCTGGTACAGCTGCAACCAAAAAACCTAAGAACCAAAACATGAATTAATAATTTAATAATTATAAAAATATTATAACGTTAATAGACTAATAACCAACCTATCATGAAAATAATTGCATCCAACCAATAACAACCCATCATCAATGCAATAATGAATAGTAATATTCCAATAATTATAGCAGTTATGTTAACAAAGTTCACAAAACGAATAATTTCCCTTGCAATTGGTGTTGGTCGACTATCTAAACTTGAAGCTAACCCGGCAATTCTTCCCATGACAGTATTATCTCCACATGCAATAACTACACCTTTAGCAGTTCCTAAATTTAAAAAAAATATACTTCAGTTTAATAATAATAAATTTAAAATATTTGAATATCTATCAAACCTTCAACGGCATGAGTAGAAGAAAATGCAAAATTTTTAGTTTCCAATGGATCATCATGAGTAAATTCTGGAGTGCGGCTTTGTGGTTCAGATTCACCAGTCAGTGATGAATTATCTACTTTAAATGAATGACTCTCAATAATTCTTAGGTCAGCTGGGATACGGTCTCCAAACTTAAGCTCAACGATGTCACCAAGAGTGAGATCTTCAGCTCGTAATGTCAATGATTCACCTTGGCGTATAACCACAGCAAACTATTTTAATAACTTAGAATTAAAATATAATAACTTTACAATATTATTAACATTCCAACACCTTAAAGATATTATTTGATTATATTATATTAATTATGATGATATAATTCAAAATATACTTTAAATTTAGTAATAGCTAGTAGTTTATAAGTCTAATGAAGAAAATTTTCCACAAATAAAAACTTAAGAGAGATAAGCAAATAGTTTTATAACAATTTAAGTCTCCATATTATAAATTAATGTATTATCATATATGAAAAAAAGCATTTGATTAATTTAAATTTGATAAAAATAATTTAAATTATTCAATCATTGAAATAATTAATTTATAGTAATTAAAAAAACTATTTCATAAAATTTTAAAATATAATAATGGTCATTATTTAATGTATTTTTAAAACTTTATAGTTAACAATCTTTGAACAAAAAGGATATAAATGATTTGCTCAATTAAAATAAACATTTCTCGGTTATTTATGTGTAATTAAATAGCAATGTCATATTTTGTTTTGTATGATATAACAATACGGAATTAACATATTAAGAAGAGAAAACAAAAAGAAATGTTAAAATACTAAAACCGAATGCTGACTTATTTTTTCAAATAAATAAGAAAGTTTATTGTTCTATTTTAAAGTTTAAAATGAAGGTCTCATTTTTCAAAAGTAACATATTTTGAATTGAATCATTTTTAAAAGAAGAAAAGCAATATAATATTTAATAAATTATAAAGTTTAATAATATTCTAAAAAAAAAAACCCCCAAAATTTTAAAAAACACTGCAACTATGTAACACAATAAAGATAAGCTACTATGTATAGAATAAACTATATAGATTTAAATATGCAACCAATATTTCAAAGATAAAATTAGCTAACTAAACAGCACTTACATAAATACGCATTCAAAATTAAATTAATTATACACATATTAAATATAGTGATTTACTACTGGATAAATTATTTTAACATGACATATCTAATTAAGTTTTAACTACAATAGAAAAGCTTAAATCAAATAAGCTTTTATAAATTTTATTTAAAAAATGTATAACATTTACATTTTTCATAATGTTTTAAATAACGAAAAAATAACTATTTAAATTATCATAATTATTAAGTGGAGTACTTTATACAGCAAAATATTTATAATTAATATAAGTTACTGATTAAAATAACTCTATACCAATATTTGTTGTTTTAATCTAACGACACAGAAAATTGAATATTTGAGTATAATAGAAAACATTTGGTTAGTTAAAATATTAAAGATGATATTCATTTATTATTAATAATAAGAAAATTTGAAAGGAAGAATTGTATGCTTTAGTCAATTTTATTTAAAATTTAAGTCTTAAAAACAAAATGAGAATATTTTCAAATTGTAATATTTTAAACAATAATAATTTTATGATAAATTAATATGCTTTATTGACTTACACACTGATTTAATATATTTATGTTAAAAATTATATTTCAGAGAAGTTGGTTTCTAGATTTTACCCATTAAATTTAAAAATATGCCAACATTTTACTTATTAATCAATATTTTTTAGAATTTACTAAAAAGGGCATTATATTACAAAAAAAAAAAAAAAAAAACATGAGGAATTATTTTAATTTTAACAATTTCACCATCTCTTCTATAGGTATATGATATAACTATCCATTCTACAACTTTATTATAGTTGTTATTGTTGTTTAATTTTAGTTCTAAATTTGTAGTACATATTCAACTTATACCTGAAACAATACTGTTATGACACAATATATATAAAAAATCACCAAAAAAATGAATAATACATTCATTTATAAATTTTAATTTAATTTCAATTCTATGTAATTATTTTCAAAATATTGACATATTTTCCAAAATTATAGAACAAAGTAAAGGGGATGGAGAATTTGTGTTAAGCTGGCCCCATATAGTGATATTAAGTTTGATTTATTTTAATAACTTATTTGCAAATTCTAATAATTGTTTGTAAAATATTGGAGTATATTTTAGAATTGGATTAAATTAGCATATTGTCAAACTTAAATTTAAGAAATTTTAATTTTTAAATATATGAAATATTATAATTTAAAATACATCTAATATAAATATACTGAAAAAATACAGTTAATATGTTAAGTGAGTGTATGATAAAGACAATAAATATTAGTATTTTTAATAAAGCAACTTAAAGAAAGTATGACAGACCTGTGAAGTTGTTTCATAGAATGATCGGATGATTGCACCTTGATTATACTGTCGACAGTAAGATAAAAAGCCAGTGACTACTATAACACCTATTAAACTTGAACCTAAGTAAATCTGCGATAAAATAAAAGTTAGCATATAAAGCAAGCATAAATAACTACCTCTCACCTGAACATAAACCCACAATCATGCTGCTACAAAAAAACCATACATTAAAATAAAAAAAGCTCAACCATACCAAAACATTAATTTCAGCTAAATCTCTGCCTTACCTGAGGAACTAAATTCCTAAATGAATCCACAATTGCAGAAGATTTAGCTTGTTGATAATAGGAGAAGATTCCTGTGATGATGACAACAGCAACTAATACTACTCCCAAGTAAAACTGGATTGCAGAATATAAGGTTAGTTTAAATAACATTATATAAATATTTAAAACCAAATTTAATTAGTTTAGGATTTTCATGGTTGCAGGTATTTATAAACAGGTTTGTAAAATGTAAAATCTCAATTAAAAAATATATATAAACTTACATAATCGTCATTTGGATCTTCCGTAGTACTAGTTTCAGCAGTATGAGCTAAGAAACACAAAAGTGCTCCACACCATAATAATACAGAAAACCCACCAAAAATCTGTTTTGCAAATTTTATCCATTCAGGTGTCGTAATTGGTGGTGTCAGAGTATTAGGTCCATCTCTTTCTAAATTTTCTCGAGCTTTTGCATGAGTTAACCCCTAATAAAATTTGTAAAATAGCGATAAAAAAAAATTGTATATTAATAACCTATGGTTTTCTATACTACCAAATTTGATGTTATAAAATGTAGTTATTATCAATACAAATTATTGTATAAATAAAACTTGTAGAGAATAATATTTTTGAGGATATGTATTGATTTGTCTAAATATTGTTTAAAAACAATTTATTGGATAATAATCCATTTAAATATACAAAATGTATTTTTTATTTTTAGTTGAATATTAAGTCAAATAATAATAAAATATGAATTAATATGTCAAACCTTTTAAAATATTAACTTTTATTATTTTTTAAATAGATGATTTTACTCTAAGATCACTAAATTTCTTTTAGTAAAATCAAAAATTTTTTTTATCCTTATAACAATTTTGATTGTACAGAATATTTACAATAATTTAAAATACTTAATTAATTTATACTTACAGTTCCAGGGTGTGTTCCAAATCTTTGATATAGTTCATCTAATGGTACTTTATGATAGTCCAAATATGGATCTTGTTTCAACTCATCTAAGTTTTCAGCATGACTATACTTAGTACTAATCGATGATGGTGCTTTTCTTCTTGTCTAAAATATTAATATAATTTTTAAAAATATAATTAAAATTTAATAGAAGTTTAATAGAAAATCTGTAACATACTTTTGGTTTTCCATCTACTGTTTTATTATCATCAAACTGAGATGGAACTGTAGCAACACGATATGAGTCTGTTCTTCCATGCTAAGGTAAAAATTTAAAATTTTAATTAACATTAAAATTTACCTTAGTTAAAAATTAATGTATAAAAGTTATATAACTGTAATAAATATATATTAATAATTTTTCAAATGAATATAAATGCCAAAAATGTCTAAATTCCTACGATTTTTAATATGTAATTTAACAGAAACAACGTAAGCATGTATAAAGAAATTAAATATTAATCTAGAACATTATTTTTCTTTTCAAACAAAATATATTTATATTCTAATGTTATTACAGTCAACTCGCGATATAACGAAAATCTCGATATAACGAATAAAACTACCGGTCCCTTGAAAATATCGCGGTATAACGAACAAATGTAATGTATTTTGGTCCCCTCGATATAGCGAAGCGTTTTTGATCAAAACCTCGCGATGTAACGAATTTTTATAAATTTGGAGCTTTCTATTACGAATTTTTAATTTTAATTAAGAAAAGATACATGTCTTTTGTGTATAACTCAATGAAAAATATATAAAAATAAGTATGTTGCTATTACCATATAATAGATTACGAAGTTTTTCTGATGATTATCATGCGATAGTACACTCAAGTACAGTATCGCAATTAAAATAAGACTTATGTCGATTAGTAGTTCTACGCAAAATGTACGTAACATACTATGTAACATATCGGTACCGTTTAAAGAAAATTACGAAGAAGAATCTTCTGAAGAACCCATCGTAACCTTGAAGTAAGCCAAATTGGGTCTTCGCGCCGTTACAGAGACATGATATTGACGACAATGTGTGTTTTCTAGCATTTTAAATCTGGACAATACTATTGATTAGGTAAACTCAAGCAGTTGCAAACAATCAAAAATATCTGATTTTTAAAAAAAAATAAATGCACACATGTATAGCGATTTATTATATGTACATATTAAAAGCAATATTATTATTATAACATATTTTTATTAGAAATATTACATACATTTATATTGAAATTAAACAATAAATACATATTTATATGACTCATATATTTTATACATATGTATACGAATAATAAAATTTTGAATTTTTGTTTTAAATCTTGTTATAACGAATTCAATTGGTACATTCTCTTGATATAACGAATTTCGATATAACGAACTTTCGATATAACGAATTTTTTTCTTGGTCCCTTGAAATTCGTTATATCGCGAGTTGACTGTATAAACAATAAGTAAATATGATAGCTTAACTAATAATAACATGAAATTTACGTGAGGAGAGAAGTTCACCAGTGAAATCCATATGATTTAAAGGGAAATATTGTAATATAGTAAGGTAAAATCTTGCAAAGACGAAACTTCATTTAGAAAAAAACCTCAGCAACACAGAAAATTATTTTGTTTCATCAAAATCAGCAAAAAACTTATCAACGAAAGTTTAAGATATTTTACTGCGGATGTTAAAGCTGACGAGAGATAACATTCTTCATTTTGATAACCAGCTTAAGACTTGGCAAACCAATGATTTGGCTATATGCAAAGTTGAGGATCAAGGCAAAACAACAATGAATACAACAATGATAAAACTATAAAGAACACCAAAATCTGATAAAATACTACAAAATACTATTTCCTACCTTAGTGAACAGGAACTATAAAAATAGTATAATAGATAAACAAACCTAATCATTAAAATTAAAATATGTATTTAACCAGAGGCGGATAGACCCACCGGGATACCGGGAAAATCCCGGTAGGCCCTCCTCTCTATAAGATTTTTTTTCCTACACTATTATAATTACAGAATTCGATATAGTCGCTATTCGATAGCCAATACTTAAAAATATACACAGGCACACAGGACAGAACTAATATGTAACTTTTCATACAATTTATACCTAATAAAATAAATAATAATATTATTATAGTGTTATCATAGGTATTATGAAAATGTATATTTAAAAATATTATAGCATCTAAACTTTTGATTATCATATGAAAAATTAATTAATGAATAATGATTACATTTATAAATATAAAAAATATGTATTATAATATGTGTGTGGTCTAAATGTATTTCTTTTATTTTTATTGGGCCCTTACGGTAATGCATTTCCCGGTAACATTAATTTAGCCTATCCGCCTCTGTATTTAACCTATTACAAGTGAAACCAATGATCTATACATGATAATTTCTAGGTAGTTGATGGTTAACCTGCAGATTAAAATATCAAAATGATAAAACATATACATCATATTATTTCATATAAAAGATGTATAACAAAATTACAAAAAATACAAATTCACTTCAACGGACCTTAAAATTCAGGTTCAACCATCCTTCCCCTTTTGAGGACCTTGTATTGCAGTAATCATGTAATTATCTTATGTGGTTAATATGAGCATTTTATGGTAAGATTGAAAACAGTAAAAAAGTTTATCCTTTAGAGTCATTTTAAAAGAGTTGTTTGAACAAAATCTAAAATTAAATGAAACTAATTTTATCTTGAATACTTATGTTTTTTATAACTACAGTATTAATAATATATCTGTGCACATTTATGATACTGTAAAGTGTAAATCATATCTTTAGAACATCAAAAGATAACTATAACTACTACACTCATAAGTAATCACTAATCACTAATCTCAAACAAACCATTAAAAAGTCATTCCATGTTTACTTTTAAACATGAATTAAGTGAGAACAAGGAATATATTTTTATTTGAAAAGTTGCCAAGTATATTATAGTTAGTTAAGCATCTATTTTGAATACGTAAGTGACACAAATAACAATGCATACTGAATATAAATTTATTCATTTAGTTAAATGGGTGATGTTCCAAAGTTTAAACATACATAGTATATACAGCTATAAAAAGAAGACAAACTGTAATAAAAATAATTCAATACAAATAAATTGACTTTTTAACAAGTAAGAAATAAAAACTAACTTTTATTAAATTTGTATTAAGTAAAAAGTGTTCAAATACACTTTAATAATTTATTTTATGATTGTGCCATAATAATTTCATATACATATATTATATAAATGACAAAATATGACTAAAATTTTAATAGAAACAAAAAAAAAAAAAAAAATAAATAAATAACGGTATCTAAAAACATGTACTGTTGATTAAGAAGGGTCATTATTTTCACTATACTAGTCTTTAAAACATATTTCTAAAAACAAATGTTCTAATTCTGTATAAAAACTAATTTCTCAATTTCTGATAATTTTTACAGTTGATTTATTAAATTCCAGACTATTATTAAAAGGATAATATAATTGAGTAATTTTTTTCATAGAACATATTATATAATGCATTCATTCATTTGAATAAAATAAAATAAATGTTATGGTAAAGTTATGGATCTTAAAGCTTATGGGTATACATGTTAATTATGTGATTTTAATGTAGGACAATATGTACAAAATATAATAATTATAATTCATCAATGGCATAGTAAGAATTTTGCTTTATGGAATGATAATTTGTGACAATGGTATACCAAAAATAGGTTAAAATGATGCCTAGGCCACATATCTAAAATTGATGAGCTAGTAGGTAAAAATATATATCATAATGAGTAAGTTTTAATATAACATAATAAGTATTTATTCATATTTAAATAAATAAACAAGTTTAAAATGATAGTTAGACAATACATCAAATAAGAATGGACAGCGTTATATTATGATTTATGAGTCTAAGCATCTACTGGTTTATTAGATAGGAGAGATTTAACTAGGATCCCATATAAATTTGGTATGATATTTTGAGAATATTAAATTTTAAATTTTAGTAGTAACCTTCATAGAATTCAGATTATTATTAAATAGTTATGTTTTATGTAATATAGATACAGAACCATAAGAGAAAATATACATTTTTAATAGATAGGGTTATTTTTTCTGATTAATTCAAACACACACTTATAAATGGTGGTGAGAAGGGGGAGGGGGAAATCCTTGATATTATTTCATTTTTAAAAACTTATTTGTGTATTTGTTTACATTTATATACTTGTACTGTGTATCTATGATTTTTTTTTTTGTTTATGCATATAAACATAAGTACCTATAATACAATTATTTTCTTTTTTTAATGTCAAAATTCAAACTATTTTCTCTTACGTCCGATTATATTTATATAGAATTCTATTATTATATGTTTAAAAATCATTTAATAGTCTGTTTTTAAAAATGTTCAAAAAATAAAGAATCTACTTAAATAATTGTACCCAAATAATTATTATTATAGAGACAATTTAAGTTGTGCTTAGGCATTAAAAATATTTAAATAAAACACTATAATATTATTTATGCATTCTATGATACACTACATATTCTAAAAATAAATACAATATTAAAAATTTTAAATAATTTTGATAATAATTTTAGCTAAATAATAATGATTGTTGTTTTACTAAAAAATAAATTATAATATTAATTTTAAGCATTTATTGCTTATTTTCAAATATTATTTTTTTTTTGTTTAGGCCGTAATTTTAGATTTGTACAGATTATAGAAAGCTTTTGAAATTTTCCTGAAAGTTCAGGGAGATTTATAGTTTCTTAAGTATTTCTGATTATGTTACTATAATGCATATATTATATCATGTAGTTTATTAAACATAATTTATAATTAGTTTTTTGTATGCCAAATTGTTATGGATCCAAGCCAAGAGCTCATTATTATTATCAATTACATTGAGAACACAATAAAAGGACAAACTATCTAGCATAAATAAAATGTTTTTAACAAAAAACATCGTATATAGGTTGTAAAATAAATTGAAAGAGAAAAAGGGGTTTATAAAAGCTATCTACTCTTGAGGTAGACAATTGAAAATATTTGTAAAATTCAATGTGTTAAGGCCTAAGCCTAGCTCGAGATAATTTATTTAATTACTTTTCTTAAAACATTTTAAATTAACATAGGTATAAACTGGGAGTAGTGAAAGAGGGGTAATCACCTGAATTTTTGGCAATTAAATATAATTAACATGAGGTAGAGATACTATTACATATTTTTAGTAATTACCATTATATCAAAAATACTGCACTAACAAATAACAATGAAGACGTAGGTATATTATAAAAAAAATAATCAAGTGCAATAACAAGTAACAACTATTCAATTTAGTAACTGATTTATCATCAATTGAACACCACTTATTCAATTGAAACTAATTCTTGAATTTGTATAACTATACACATCTCGTATTCATACTATAATTTAGTATGATGATACTTTACTGTATAATATTCTATATTTCTACATCATAAAAATACAAAAACAATGTAATTTATTATATGTACTCTATACAGAAGCACTAATTCAATAAAACTAACTTGTACTTTATCAGTATGAAAATATCAGTTTTTCAGCTTTAACTATGGACTAAAATGAACATCCATTATTGTGGGTAAATACTAGTAAATATATTTTTTAAATTAAATAAATTATTTTAGAATTCAAATTCATTTATAATATTAATAACAGTAAAATAAAAAAAAAATTATTATTTATATAGGTAGAAACAAATCAAAATTATGAAGTTATCGCTGAATGAATTCTTCATTCAAGAATAATCACCGTCATTCCCAATTTTTGCTTAAATTTATTGTAAAAAAAAAAAACACATACAATCTACCTTATAGGTTGTATAATAAAAAATAGAAAACAAAAATTTTTTTTATCAAATTCTAAAAGTTCAGAATGGCATCTAATATAATACATTCATTTTTAAATTAAAATATTGCAAAAAGTTTAGTTTATGAAAATAAAAACTGACAAAATAGTTTATTTTAAATATTAAAAATAAAATTATTTAAAACTTGCAGATTAAAAAATGTAATTACTTAGGTACCCTTACATATATAATACATAAACATGGTGTCTGTATTCTTCAAATAGGTTCATATTGAATATTCTTTGCATTGAAAATATATAAATTAAGTGTAAAAAGTGAAACCATTGAAGGCTGAGTTAAAATAATTTGAAGCCACATAATTATAAAAAATAATCAATAATATTATGTGACTCTATGGTGTATACAGTAAGTTACCTATTTTGAACTTTACAGTAGTTTTTATATAAATTGAATACATTATTTGTGTTGAAAACAATAAATAGGTATATGTTTTTAATAATGCCAGTCAACCAACCCATTTGTCCCGCCCAAAAATTCCTTCATGCGTCGATTTACGTAAATTAAAGTGTATTATTACTACTCACCAGATCATAATCCTTTGACGCTAATGATGCCATTTTAAAAATATTAATTACAAAAACTCATTCATAATTTTTTTATCAAAAATGTTCGAAAAATCAGCGATTTATGATCAAACTTAAAAATATAAAATAATCTCAAACACAATAAACGTACGAAAAAGTAACAAATAAATGCTTAATGATTATCACGGGTAACAACTAAGAGCATATTATGACCAACTAAATAGTAACAAATTCACTATACAGCATTTACGAATACAAAACATTGTAAACAACTCAAAGTATTAGGTACACCCTTTTTTTATAACCACTAATGCCACTAGCGGATTTTTAACTGATAATATTAAGTTGGCGAGTAGATAGCAGTGTGTAAGAAGAAAAAAATCAATATATCGAAAATTATGGTAGTAACATCTTGTACACAGATTAATTAAATTAAATTTTTTGATTTTTACTGAAAAAATAACAGAACATTCTTAGATTTTAAATTCAAATTAATTTTTAACATAAAATTTAATTAATTGATTACTATAATCGACGTTAATCTACAAAACATATCTTAATTTTGAGGTTAGACATAAACCATAAGAATAATGCGGTAATGAAGTCGTTACCAACTTCATTATGTTATAAGTTTTCCATTTCTACTCATCATAAATCCTCATTATTTGTAATGTTTGTAATTCAACCGAATGCGGTTTTTTTGTTATAATACTTAATACTTATAACTTTTAGTATAAAATATTAATTGTTATTAAATTATATTTGCTTCTGTATTTTATATTTGATTGTAGCTAGTCACTTATTTATAACGTAAAAATTATGTCTCAAATTGAAACGTCTGCCGAAATTAATGCTGTAAGTTATTCACACATCTTTAATTTTAAATCAAATTAGTTTAAATTGTATGACTGTATCAACTCAAGCTAGTGCTTCTATTGTAATACATTAAATTAAATCTTTTAATTACTTTCAGTTGATTACTGTCAACAATAATTAAGTAAAATAAATTATGTTAAACATAAAAGTAAACTGCAATTATATTAAATATTTCAATTTAAAAATTCCCAAATAAACACATGTGTATTATTACTCATAATTTAAAATTATTTTTCATAGTATAGTATAAAAATAAAATACAGATTGTAAAGAAAAAATCTGAGTTTATGAACTAATATTACTTCTATTTTTACATTAATGTTATAAATCTTAATAATTTCTTTAGAAAGAGTTAAATTGTATCCAACTATCAGTAAGAGAAATTTTCAAATTCAAATTTTATTTTATTAACTTAATTTGCTACAAAATCAACATTTATTTTGTCTACATTTTAACCGATGTGTAGCTATGCTCAAAACTCATCCTCAGTAGAAAATATTGCTTTTCTTTTTGTTGCAAATAGATACTTTTTAATTTTTATTAATTTAAATATTTTTATTAATTGCATGAAACCTTTTGTTTAATTAAAAAGTAAAAGTGGCTCGCAAAAAACATCTTTAATTTAAAGTTATAAAACTTAATAAATACTAAATTCATTAATTGTATTATAAATAAATTAAATAAGCTTTGTAAAGTAAAATAAAATATTTTTTTAAGTAGGTAGTTAACCAATCTAACATTTGAAATTTGTATACAAGTACATTATCCATGTATAATTTTTTGTAGTATCTTAATTAAAATAACATATAATTATAAAATTAAGTATTTTAGATTAAAGTCCATACTTGATTTTAATAATGTTGTATTATTGTCTTCAATAAAAACTATCGATTTTTATGTGGCATACCTAATACTAGTAAAAAACATTCTTAATGTTTATTTTTATCCCCTCCTTACAGAATTCACTTAAATATTTGTTTATTATGTATTTATTTATTATTATATCTGAGAGAATGATGTTGTGGCTATTTTATTTTTTAACATCTAGTTTCCATATATATTTCACTGAAAACTAATTGTTAAAGTAGTTGTTGATGATAATACATATCTTTAAATAAGTAAATAATGATATGTCAGTTTCTTCCTTAAAATTTGGATTTCTTAATTTAACAGACCTATAATTTAATGGCTATTCCTGTTCACTATTATGGAATCTTATTTTTAATTAGTTCTCATGAATTTCCATTGATGTTATAATATTTTTTCTCCTTAATAATTTCATACGAATATAAAATTTAATGTTGTGACTGTTGGTACAAGATACCTGAAAAATACCTAAATCTCAATCTATTTATATTGTATATTTATAGAAATTACAAATTATGTATAGGTAATAAAGTTTTCTTACAATTATAATTATTTTTAGAGATAGCTAATTGTTTCAATTTAACAGGTTTATGCTCATTTTTACTGACATATTGAAATAAAAATATTATTTAGAAAATCATGTAAACATTTTTACAGAGCAATCAACTTTTACAAGAAATAACAATTTGAAAATGACAATTTTTTTAATGCTATATGCTCATCCAGATGCCCCTGTAATTAATCTTTCACCAACTCACATCTTATTTTTTTTAAATATTTTAACAGGATACTAAAATCGATCCTATGGAAGTGATAATGGATCATAATGTTGTTGGTGATGATGATGTTGCTGAAACGTCGTCTGCATTAGCTGTACCAAACGGATTAAAAAATAGATCTGTAAATGTAAGTGAAATGACTTCAATGGACTACTATTTTGATTCATATGCTCATTTTGGCATACACGAAGAGATGTTGAAGGATGAAGTACGAACTCTCACTTATAGAAATTCTATGTATTACAATAAACATTTACTTAAGGTAATTTTCATATTCTATCAAATATTGTTTTTATAGTTAATAAAAATTAAACAAAAACAATCAAAAATTATTTTTCTTGCAGGGTAAAATTGTATTAGATATTGGATGTGGTACTGGAATTTTATCCATGTTTGCTGCAAAAGCTGGTGCAGCCAAAGTAATAGGCGTAGAGTGTTCTAACATTGTAGAATATGCTAAACAAATTGTAGCAGATAATCATCTAGATCACATTGTAACAATAATCAAAGGAAAAGTAAGAAATAAATATATTATTTTGGTATTTAGATATAATTTATTAATTCTAAATATATTTGTTTAGGTTGAAGAAATAGAATTACCTGATGGTATTACTAAGGTAGATATTATTATATCAGAGTGGATGGGCTATTGTTTATTTTATGAATCTATGTTGGATACTGTACTTTATGCAAGAGACAAGTGGTTAAAAGAAGGTTAGTTAAATTACAGCATGCTTAAAAAATGTGAATTAAGTATAATAGATGTTTATAACAAAAAATATTTAGTTATACTATATTAAGGTTGACATTATTGAAATTAGATACACTAGTGTTACATTTTAAGAACCTGTATGTCAAAAAACCAGTCAACTCTAAGCCCATGTTTAGGATCAGTTATTGTTTTAGTGACGAGGGAGGGGTAGTTAAAATATTTTTAATGCTTAAATTAAAAATTCATATTTATATTATTTTAGTGATAATATTATATACACACTATAATTTTAATGAAACAAATGGTTGAATTTAATTTTAAATCATAAAACAAAGTCAAATTTGTGTGGTATTCTCAAAAAATGTTTTAATAATTTCTTCAATATTTATTTGGATGCTTTGATTAGCTGACATGGAATTTAAACCAAGTGGCGGCTCGTGCTATGGGACCCCACCTTTAACATCGAAAGAAAGAAGAAACATTTAAAATTGAGTAGGTAGTGTGTTTCTTCCATTATTATATAGTTGGTATATTATTAAAAATATTATCGAAAAAAAATGTTATCAAATACGGGCGTACAATATTATATGGAAATTGCACGGCGAGCACAATCAGATTGTGCCCGGATTCTATTTTTATTACTGATTAACTATATATAATTATATTTATTATTTATTTTTAAATGATAATTTTCTTTTTATAATTATTTATTGTGCTAGATGTAAATTAAGATATTTTTATATTCAAAAAATGAATTTAACTTAATTTAAAATATCAATAGGAATTAGTGTAAGTTCAAAATTGTGATAATGGAAAATGAGGGAAATATTTGTGCCCTACCTTCAATGAACTCCACGAGCCGCCACTGGCTAAACCTGTTAAACTATTTTCACTGCAAAAATTATTTTTCAAATAAGTTTTTAATTATTTTGAAGTTTAAAATAAACGTTCTGCTGATGAAGTCAAAACTAGGAGTGTTAAACGTGTGGATATTAAGCCCCGAATAATTGAACAAAGATTCTTTAACTTAATGCCTTTAGTATCAGTTGCAGGTTTTGGAACTTCTTTATGGAGTACCAATTTTTATTTTTCCATCTATGCCTTCAATTCTAATTTAAAAGTATCATAAGTCTGAAAAACTTTTGTACAAATCATTGTTACTTGAATTTAATTTAATTAGAAAACTTGAAAGCAAGTTCTGCAAACCAGAAGTAATGTAATTGTGTTTTATAAATTATTTAATTAATTGACTTTTGAAGAAGTCTTAAGGTGACAATAAAGTAGACCTCTTATAGTACTGTTCTAGTGAATTTTATTATTATGATGGGTAGATGGCCTAATTGATCTCATTAAAAATGTTTCATCTATTATGCTTAATACATTTTCTACTTCTAAAAATAATTTGTTAAATTTTTCCTCATTATTTTCATGAACTTAATAACTTTTGCTCAGTTATTAGAAAATTCACAACATTGATAATTTTTATTTTTAATACAGATTTACTAAAGTAAGTTCTGTTGGAGTAAAAAAAAAATAAGTAAAATATATTTTTAAAAACAAATTGTTGAAACGTCAAGTACTAATATTAAGTTATTTTTGAATATACTTGTTACCATTATTTAACTACTTATTGTGAAGAATCATATTTCATTACTTCATCATATAAAGATACTGCCTGTGTTTGCTACCATGTGTTAACAGTTTCTCTCACCATTTTCGAAAATTCGTTTTTCTAGACATAATTTCATGAAGAAGAAAACAAGAAATTTGGGTAAAATCTATTGATTCACATTATAGTGAATCTCTTTTTTTAAAATTTTTTTTCACAACTTCACTCATCAAAGTTTACCAGTTTATTCTTCATTATGAATATTTTTACAGTTTTTGTTGAAAATTCCCACCCATCTTCTAATCATTAAACTACTCATCACATTTTCTCTGTAAACTTCACAAATTTGATAATTGATAATCACTTTTTTGGAATTATTTTTATTCAAAAAAAGATTTATCAAGCGTAATTCACATATAGTATGGTTTTTAATTTGTTTTAAACACTTGCCACTTGATGTATGGATAACAG